ACTGTACATAAAAGTATCTTAATTGATTATACACGGTCCCCTAAAAGAAACCACATTCATACCATAAAAACAGAGCAATAACAAAGAGAGTAACGAAAAAATAGAGTTGCATTTAGAGGTTGAAAGTTTGAACAAAATATTTTATAAGCATGGGTGTCAGCTACAAAAAACAGGGAAATGTATCCAGTATAAGGGAACATTCATTCTAAAATCTCCCTTTGTCATTTACTTTCTCAATTTTTGGCTTCCGGGGACCAAAGTTGTGGAGTACAGGGAACGATAAAAGAGGATTATGAAAATCAATTAACATAGTCTAGAAACTTCACACACCTTTTTTCCCGGTAGATGATGAACAGAAAGACCTCACAAGCTTCATAACATACAGGCCATGCATTTTTTCATCACCTGACTTGATTCGCAAGGTAAGAAAAAAATTCAAGAAATTAGGGGGGAATAGCCCAATAGGGTGCTTTATTAAGAGCCTATTCATATTTAAAAACTTGTTAATCAGTCAAATGAAAACAATAGACGTCTAGAACTTTAAACAACCTTAATCAGGAAGTCAACACCAGCATCCAGTTGTGTCAGGTTAACAAGGAGCATGACCAGCAAATGCATAATTTCACAGTCTTGCTTGTACAAAATCTCCATTATCATTTTAATCATATTCATTTCGATCATCTCACTTGCTAACTTTGGATTTGGAGACAAATTCACAAGTGCTTGTGCTGCAGGTTCTGAAACCTCCTAAGTTGAAAGATCAAAAGAGCCAAGGCAGAAAAGTTAATCATCTACGAATTATAGATAGATGATAGATCAAAACCCAACTCTTTCATATTTTATTCATGAGAACAACTATTGGACTAAATCCTGTTTTAGCTAAATCATTATAGATTACATTATTTGAATCACATTCAAAATACAAAGAAATGGGAATATCAACAAAGATGTGACATGAAGAATTAAATGATGGCTCAAATGAAGGAGAAACAGAGTACTATGTGATCAAAATGCACCACTAAGATAAAAGGGAAAAATGTACGGAGTATAGGACTCTTACAAGACTGGCTTTACTATATGTATCAGAATGTTGGGCAATGAAGAAAGATTTGAAAAAGAAGGTGAATGTGGACTAGATGCATGCGATGTGATGCTTGTGGCACAACTTTTAAAGAGAGAGTGGCACAACGAGGAAACTTGTGGGATGGTGGGTTTTGCCGCTATTAGAGATAAAGTAAGAAAGAACTGATTACGTTCGTTTGGGACTTCGGGCACACAAAATAATGCGAAGTAGGAACCCCGATACAAAGAGCAGAGTCTTGGAGTGTGAGATTTGAAAAACAAAAGGACAGCATAGACAAAAATGACTTGAATTGAAGGTGTAAAGAGGGGCATTAGACATTTAGGCCATAGGGACATATGAGCATATGGTTCGTGACAAAAAAGAATGAAAACACAAATTTCAGTGGTTGACCTCATTAGATTGAGTGAATTACGTGGACAGGACTAAAACAATAGCGCTTTACGTAAATAAGACCTAGTTCGCGTGTGGGACTAAAACATTGCTGAAAAGACTATGCTGCCCTAATTGAAAACTAGCATTACTACACAGTCGCAAAGAGAGTATGCACTGAATAGCAACATTACTGCATAGTCGCGAAGACAGTATGCACTGAATAGCAACATTACTGCATAGTCGTGAAGGCAGTACGCACTGAAAACCAGCATTACAGCACTGACGCGAATGTAGTAAATGGCTCAATGATTATCAATGAACAAATTAAGAAATAGAAAAAGTAAAAAGTACAAAGGGTAAAAATGAATTGAAAATATGGAATGCACTGTAATAAGACCGAATAAGTCCTTTTGTGTAAAAATAAAAAAGGTCCTATTTGTGTAAGTGTTCCATGTTTTAGTCCTATTTGAGATAGTTTTCTCTATTAGATTTTCTATGGGTTAGTGTAACAGACCTCATCAATTTGGGAATGAGGCTTGGACGTTGTTGTTATTGTTGTATCCTTTGTAAACATCTATAAATTTTCCGAAAAGATGTCTACAACTTCAGTAATGTAGACTACACATATACTTGAGTGAAACAAGAAAGGTCAAAACTTGCCCGCATATTTATATTGTCATAATAAATGTCGTCTTGAAACTTGAAAACGTAAAATGACCACTAATTTGGGACAAAGAAATATTTAAGTTACATGCTTAATTTTTCTAGTACGGAGGGAGTAATACAAGATAGACTAAGACTCGATCATTCACATCGATCTTGTTATTCTCTACAAAGACCACTACCTTGAAATAGCGCCACACACATGAAGCAACAGAACACGCATAAGAGGCATTGTGATCTGTTGTGCTGACATTGTATATAATTCAAAATAAGAAATCATCCTAAATAGGGGTAAAAACATAGACAAAATACCAAAACATGAGCTCCATGTTTTTATCCCAAAATAAGGGTTTGCATTGTGGTAATGTGGCACTGTATATGGACATTTCAGTATACTTTTTGGTAATGTATATGGTCATGATTGCACTGTATATGCATTTTAACTCATATTTCGGAAATAAAAGCATCAAACTCGTATCTTGGTATATTTTCAATGTTTTACTCCTACTCTAGTCTTTTTCCCGTTCAAAATCATGTTTTCTACATCTTGTGTTTAAATAGACTACCCGCAGTAAGAATCAACCAAATTGCAATATAACCAGCAAATTTATACCTACTTTTGAAATTAGTTGCTCCCCCCCCCCCAAATAATTAAATAAGAACTCTAATTTTAACTCTCTGGAATTCTGATGCATCATACATTGATCAAAACACCCCACAAATCCTAGAACATCAGAGAAGGATAATACAGAAATACCTTGCTTTCCCCGAGCAGCAGAGACAAAGACGGGAGCACAATGCTGGAGTATTTACCAAGAGATTGCAGCCCCTCTTCGGACCCAGTGTAATCTCGAACTATATCCACAGCCGCTTTCTTAACCTAGGTTTCAGTTGTTCAGTGATAAACAATGGAGAATTTCATAACCCTCGATGTTTGAATCGAGGGGCACTGAGACGACATACGAACAATCGCGTACAAAATGGATTTGGGCGAGGGGAAGACGCTTACTGTGGGGGAAGGAGACGATAGAAAGCCAATCAGTTCTTCGAGTTCAGTAGCCATTGATGTGTTGCTAGAGGATTGAAAATTATTGGAGGCACTATAGAACGGGGTTTAAGGCAATTGTCATGTGAAAAAAAATCATTTAAATGATTTTAAAATGTTTAGAATATGAATAAATATTTAGAGTATAACATAGAAGGTGTTTGTGAGTGATTAATTTAATTGATTTTCACAAAAGTCGAAAGCACCAAATATCCGTTTCTTCAAAATGGTATTTTATGTACAAAACGATAGTAAAAAAAAGCAGAAGTTGATATGACAAAACCAATTTTGCAGGTGAAAATGGAGCAAGGTTAGAGGATATAGAACTAGAAAACTGAATATTTGCATCACCATTGGTTATACATTCACATAATTTAGGAAACCTTATTTTTATTTATTTTAGAGCAAATTCTCATAATAATGATCTTCTATAATAGAGTTTTTTTTCCAAATCAGTCTCTAATAAGTTTAAATTACCTACATAGTCCATTATAATTAAGATTTATTTTCTAAATAGTTCTTAATAAATAACATTTCTCAAATGATGATTAATTAGTGGGTATTTTGATATTTTTTATCAGCTAAATTTAGAATAAGTTTTTGAAATGAACATTTTAAATGAAGTACTTTCTAAAATGATATTTTCTAATTGAAAATGTGTATCTGATTTAAATTTTAAAAGATTTTTTTATAGGTTTTTAATAAGCCATGAATTATATATAGTCAATGTATTGTTTTAATTTTACATTTAATTGTATAGAAATGACCATTTTAAAACTATACTTTAAATTTAGATCAAAATACTCTTTAATTAATCATCATTTATTTGAGTAACATTACTTACAAAAAACTACATAAAAAATAAATCTCAATTTTAAAGGATCACGTAGGTAATTAAAACTTATTGGAGACAGAATGGAGAAAAATATCTTATTATATAGCATTGTTTAGGAAATTTAGTCTGAATTTTTGAAGAGATAAAAACTACTCCCCCTACCATAATTATATTTGTACTTTCTTATTTGGATTGTGCAAGAGCAATTAGAGCAAGTATAAACTACTCTTTTCGTCTCAAAATTATCATCTTATTTTGGAAAAAAAACATTTAAAATTCTATCTATTTTAAAGATATTTTGTTTAGAAATTTACAAATTAAAAGTACAAAATATATTTTCAAAATTACATTAAAATTTTTAGAAAACAACAAATGTAAAAAATATTTTATTTTATCAAATGCTTCCCATTCTAAAATTAACCTCCTAATTTAACTTTTATAATCAAATTTTTTAACTTGACTGCATATTACGAAAAAGATACATTGAGTTTTCACATAAATATTTTATCAATATATTAATTTTGAAATAAAGTTTTGAATATATTATTTTTATAATATATATTCATATAAAATAGAGATATTAAGGATTAAATTATTATATTATGAAAAATTAAATAAGAAATTAATTTTAAGATAGAAGAATAATATAACTAGAATACACAAATAAAATGTATTTTTAACATCAAAAAACCAGAAAATTACTCGCGGGTAACGCGAGTTTCGTTGAAATAACTCTCAGATCCCTATATTTTCAAGAAGACAGCAGAGGTCCTTACATTTTGTTGTAATGACTGGAAGGGGACATTTCATCCAATATTTCATCTATAAACGTTAATAAATGTATTTTTTTGTATTCTTTTCTAAATGTTTTAAAGTAATAAATCTTATGTCGCTCCTTTTTTTTATTTCTTTGTTTTTCTTTCATTTTGTTACTATTTTTTAAAGTGTTATTTTAGAATTTCTTCTATAAAATCGTATAAAAATTTAAAATTGTTTTTATTATATTAAAACAAATGAAATAAAAAAAATTTAAAAAAGATAGCACCGGCGTTTCTGCCTGCTCTGCCAACTTCTCGCTTGAAGATCAGGTAAATGTTGCATTCCTCCTTCAGTTCTTTTTCTTCCCATGGATGATTTTTGAAGGCTTTCAATTCCTTGTGAATTTATGCTCATGGAGATTTCCGTTTCCTATTCCCAGTCGTTTTCTCTTGTCAAATGTCTTCACCTGTTGAAATGCACTCCGAGCGCCCGCTCTTTGGCGGCGCCATCTCTTCTTCTTTCCCAAGCCGCCTCCAGGTCTGCAACTTTCATTGATTTCCTTAAATTTCTAACTTGTTTTTCGATTTTTTTTTGTTGTTGAATTGTTTGAGAAGTAATCAATTTCTTCGATTCAAATATCAGGACGTTAGTAATGTACGCCAAGTTCCCGATCATCAGGTCAGGTTGCGTTAATTTGAAGCATATGTTAGTTTCCAGCGTTTTCATGTTAGGTTTGGATTTTTGTTGGATATGTAGTGATTAATTTATGGTTTAATGAATGCCAGGAGGTGTTTGTAGACCCTGCCCGGGATGAGAGTTTGATTTTCGAGCTTCTGGATTTCAAACCGGATGTGGCTGATGATGCAAGCGCTACTTGGTTTCTTCAGGACCTTGCTAATGAGCAAGAAGCCGAAGGAGGCACGGTACTGCCTTGTTTTTAAATCAACCGTAGTTGTTAATTATTCTGTAGGTTTTCTTACGTCTATGAGATGTTTTCAGCTAATTAGCTCCTTAGTTTTGAGTTGCGTCTGCTTGTTTGATTGAAATGAATCATCAAAGGATAAAATTTCATCTGTATTTGGTGTTTACTCAGAAAATGATTTTTATTGCTTTGATGGTAAAAATATTTGATTAGTTTAGAAAAACTATAAATGTGGACAGTGTTTGTAAAAATTTGATGCTAATAATTGATTAAATGTTTTAGAATATTTGAAAAACAAACTGCTTGTAAGATACTTAATTACTTATTGGTTAAATGACCAAAAACTCATTCTTGTGGAGTTAGGTTCTTGATATACTTGGACAAGACTGTGAAAGGCTTTACATTAATTAATCCGTACATTTATATCATCCGACCACAACAACAACAACAACAACAACAACAACCCAGGTGAATCCCACAACAGTAGGGTCTGGGGAGGGTGTGTGTACGCAGACCTTGCCCCTACTCGGAAGTAGGGAGGCTGTTTCCAAGAGACCCCCGGCTCCACCTGCATAAAAATATGGAAGGGAACACAGTATAACACAGATAAAGCACCAAGTACGAGCAACAAGTACAAGTAACAAGTACACAATAGCAGAAGATTCCAAACAAATCCAGCACAGTACAAAACTACCTCTACAACACCGAGCTCCTATCCAGCTACTCTAATCCTAGTTTTCCAAAGGTTCCTATCTAGGGCCATATCCTCAGACAGGTCGAGAAGTCCTAAATCCTGCCTAATCACCTCCTTCCAATTCTTCCTAGGCCTACCCCTTCCCCTACTTCCCCCAATAACTGTAATCCTCTCGCATCTCCGTACAGGGGCGTCAGCATCCC